ATGTAAACCGGTTATTAAATACAAACAGGTTCGTTCTATTGAGCTGCTGTTTTGTCGCATAAAAATAAAATTGCGCTCAAAATACTTTTGGCTTCATGTTCTATCACATTCACAATGAGAATAAAAATAGCATAAGGGCTAGGACAATGCTAGAGCATTGCACAAATCTGATGTCCTGTTAACATCAACCTAACATAGTTGTATTTATCGATAGTATGACGTATTGCAAGCCAGTACGGGTAGATATGACGATCCCTCTTATTTTTACCACGAAACAGTGAAATATACGTCCTGATTTTAAGAATTCGATACCCACTTTAGAAATAATATAAGCGCCATTGTTATGACGAAAGTAGAAAATGACATCTATAGGGGAAGGTAACCTAAGATTAGGGTTAATATATAGCAATAACATACTTAATTTTCTGTATGTTTAAAACAATAAGGAGCTTGAAAAATAGTTTCATTTCCACCAATATATGCAAAAAGGGTGAATGCAATCTGAAAACTGACCCTAGTTAGATTTTTTATACAAACAAATGAATTCGCCTATTACAAAAAAAATCGTTTACTAATATATAATATGTATATGCGTAAATATATAGCGGTTTCAAGCCCTCGCGACTGGATCGTCTAACACGTGACATTATTATAACATCATGTTCAATGACATATATACGTAGATAAAAATGAAAACAATCAATAAATAGACGATATCACGATGAAAAAATGCTCACGGTCATTATAATCTTTAATAATTAATTTTATTTGTGATAATTCTTTAACTAACATAATTTCTGTTTCTACGTCTATTGCTCCACGCCTCTCTGCCACCGTGTGGGATTACCACTGCATTTATTTATTATGCGATTGGGACATCCTGAATGTCATTACACACCTTGCACCTCGAAACACTAGTTGAAGTCTGAATTGTAATATATAACTTCTGTACCACCATACCACAAGCATGCATGAGATGCATAGCGACAGAAATGTGCAAGACGGGGCCACCTTTTATTTTCGGGCAGGGAACCGAACCTCCTTCGAGGTGTCCGCGCGTTAATTGCGCATTTCATTAGAAAAATTGTCGCATCGCTTAATGCGAGTACACTGGGTATCCTATCCTTTAGGCCACGACAACTTTCTGGCACAATTTAGTTTTCCTTATACGACTGATCGCCAGACTGATGTCAGCCCTATTTGAGAATGATGAACGTTGGATTCGGCAAACCAGGACAGTAAGTAATAATTCCAAAAATTAAATCGAAGGAACTATTAATGCAATTAATGGGATTTTAATGTAGTTTGAGACAGCACGGGCGCAGTCCGACGAAGTGGTTCGACCAAATCCGCACCACACTAGAGATCCCATTCCACGACACCCTTCATCCGGCCAATGATCGGAGGCGCTGGCGGGACATTATAAGGAGCAAAATCCTGTCGACATATAATGGTCACGACCCTCAGCAGTGAGGAAACGACGTGAGGAGGAGGAGGAGAGTGTAATTTGTAGTATAACTCATAGTCGAATAGAGTTTTATGAAGCAAAAACACCTTTAGGAAGTAAAAAGACAAATCACAGGTATACATTTATCATTGGTTAACCTCTCGAATATTTGTACGGATACGTCTGTAATCCATGGTCTTACAAAATGATCGATGACTATGACAAATCGAAACTGTGATTTGTCTTACACAAATCCCCGTTGATTGTGTATAAGACAATAACTCTGTACTTGAGAATTGAATCTCATATCAATATTTACCTTGTCATTTGAGTACACTAAGTGACAATGGGTACGAACAGCAAAATTGTAATGTTTCTTTTGAAATAAAGTATACAATATTATTATAAAATTTATAAATACAAATTAAATGGTTCTTTATATAAAAAAAAAAACTTTTTTTCATCGACAACAATGTTATGCCCCAACACTATTAAATGTTGAAGCGAGATGAAATTATACGAAAATAATGTAACGATAGTGACAGATGATTATAAGCTGGCGATAAAACATACATAATTCTCCGTTAATGGTTACGAAGCGGGACCCCTGCATTTAGGGACCGTGATAATTCCCACCTTCGATCTATGTGTTGATGATGGCTAAGAAGACTATTGAAGATATTTTTATTGGCACAATCGGGTTAAAAGCGATGCTCTTGCTAGGATCAGTGTTAGCAAACTCTCTGCTGAGCCCGTGAGCTCACGTACCGAGCCGCGTGTGGTTGAAATAGCCCTTAGGCTACCAAGAATTAGGTAGGGAAAAACAAAAAATTATGAAATACTGGGACAAGACCTCAATGACTCAGCCGGCGATAATAGCTAACCTTTCTAACTAAACCTCACGATGCAGCATGATTTATCAACAGCACAACAGAGATGTGGTATGTTAAGCGATCTCCAAGGAGATATTTCATCTGAGTTAGTACATAAGATGATGGTCCCTGCTAAAGGGACTTAGTACTTTTTTGGCATGAAGTTGAACGGTTTTCAATGAAAACAAAAATGCCAATAAGATATTGAGTTTAATGTACCATAATAAAATTGTTTTATACTATACTAGCGACCCGCCGTCGCTTCGCTTCGGAAACTGTAATTTATTATTGATTTCTCCACTATTTAATGGATGTTAATATACATATAAACCTTCTTCTTCAATCACTCTATCTATTAAAAAAAAACCGCATCAAAATCCGTTGCGTAGTTTTAAAGATTTAAGCATACATAGGGATATAGGGACAGCAAAAGCGACTTTGTTTTATACTATGTAATGATATTGGTTATACAATTTTTTTTTTTTTTAAACTGGTCCCGTGGTAAGTTCGTAAAGAACTTGTGTTACAGGTATCAGATAACGGAAACAAATGTAAGATTTTTATTATACACATACACATATTTAATATACATCCATAACCCTGGAAAAGACATTTTATATTTAATTTTATCATACAAATATCTTCCCTTGGCGGGATTCGAACCCGCGACCCCCTTGTGTAGTGACCATGTCACTTACCACTACACCAGACGGCCGTTAAATATAATATTGGTTCGTCGTTTTGTCTAGAGCTCCTTTGTTAATAATAATTAATTCGAAGTTTGATTTCACAACACTATTTAACTGATTTACGATCGGACCATCGTTTACAATCGATACACATAGCTATTAGCTGTCATTATTGTTTTAACGATACCTACCTTGTTGGTAACCGCCAACTTATAAGATCGATTTCATGTTTTAAGAAAGGATGTTTTGCTTTACTCCGGGTATTTTACGTTTTCAGGGCATTCACCTTTCGAAGCACGTAAACTTTTCGTTGTTCCGGCTGGTTTATGAACGAGAGTTGACTTGTAAGCTCGCTCCGGTACATTTTATAACAGCTATTATTATAAACATTTTTAAATTAAAAGTTTGATGTAACGCGAAAAAACATATTTTTTTTTATTGCCTTTGTAGGCAGACGGGCATACGGCCCACCTGATGGTGAGTGGTTACGGTCGCCCATGGACTTCAGCAATACCAGGGGCAGAGCCAAGCCGCTGCCTACCGCTCAATACTCTCCACAAGCCTCGTTTGAAGAAGGACATGTCATAGCGCTCGGGAAACACCGTGGAGGGGAGCTCATTCCATAGCCGGATGGTACGTGGCGAACATGAAAAATATGTCTTTTTTTTTGTATGCAGATGAAGTAACCGGTCTTGAGGTAGTTTACCTATAGGCACCGCAAACACAACCTCAAGAAACGCAATCTCAATTTTATTGTAATAGCTATGCTACCCTATCCTTCAAATCAGTGTGCTCAGTGCGAGTCCTTTAACGTTCTCGATAGCGTAAAAGTTAACTCAAATTTGTATGGAGTTGGAACGTTTGTCTACATTTGCCGCTAGGGGCGCTATTCCAAACTGCATACATGGAGTTAACTTTTACGCTATCGATAACTTTGTTTTAATTGCTTAGATTGGTGGACGAGCTCACAGCCCATCTGGTGTTAAGTGGTTACTGGAGCCCATAGACATCTACAACGTAAATGCGCCACCCACCTTGAAATGTAAGTTCTAAGGTCTCAAGTATAGTTACAACGACTGCCCCACCCTTCAAACAGAAACGCATTACTGCTTCACGGCAGAAATAAGCGGGGTGGTAGTACCTACCCGCGCGGACTCACAAGAGGTAATACCACCAGAACGTTAAAAAACTCACTAAGTACACAGAATGCATGATTGGATCGCGGCTCAAATGTATTCGAGATATCTATCCAAACGAACTCATATTACGCCTAGCTAGTGACTTCACGAAGTATATCAAGTTGCTAACACAGCAAGTTTCAATCATATATAAACATTGACGCAGGACGAGTAGGTACTTATTACGTTTTAAAAATTGAATGGCCGATGATACTTCAGTGATGTCTTGGCTCGACATTAGGCAAGTTTTAAAAAATAATTAACAACTAGAGCTCCCGCAGTAGTCGAAATTCGACTATAATTAATTGGAATTGAAAGTTTGTACACTATTATGATTGTATTTTATACTTCATAATTACAAATTTCGCCAAGACTACACTATAAAAAATATTAACAAAGACAAACAATATTTAATCTCAATTTGACCACAGACGTCAAGAACAAAAGTTTGACAATAAATAGTACGCATGCGTGTGTGTCAAATACATGGTATGTAGTGTTTGTAATGTTTTCTTTATTGATTTAATGTATCTTTTATGCATTATTTTAAAAAAATATTAGCGTTGTGCACTTCTCTATATTCTCTATAAGTGTGGAAAATTTCCGTCCGCGCAAATCTTCGTAAAAAGTGATACAAAGTTTTTGCTTGTTGTATTAATATATAGATAGGCCGGAAGATGTCCACTCTTGACGTTCTATCCGAAATTCGATTCTATGGTGTATCCAACAACGCTGAAAATTACTTTTTAGATTTCGAAGAAAATTTTATAACGTGTAAACAATTTAATTAGATTAACGATTAATTCGTACTCACCAAAAACTGGACTAAGATCCGACTTCACAGATAGTTTGCCGGGGTATGGCTCTCCGGATTTCTCCTGTAACAAAGGATCATTGTTATTACACAATAAACACCAACGCGCCGCGATCTCTCATCTAAACCGATAATAATATAATCGATTTATTACTGACCGAAAATTTTAAATTCTATATTTTTTCCGTTCTTTTCAGATAACAAATAAATAAATAACTCTCATTTTAATAAAGTATGTTTTAGACTATAACGATCTATAAAGATTTAATGTTGGACGAACGAAACGCCAACATTCAGTTAAATGAAATCATATCACAATGGCCAACCTAACAAAGTTAACTCACATCACTTTTCCCTGAGCCTCTTATTTGATATCTCTTACACGCTTCCGCTTAGATTAATCCGAATACAACAATATCCTCTATCTTAACTATTACCGAGGCAATGGATCGTGTCACAATTCGACACCTTAGCTGCAATTCTGGTCTAGTATCTTGGATGTAATCGACATTTTGTAATACGTTTTTTATTATTATTTTCAAGTTATGCGATTTGTAATCGTCTTAACGAGTTCATTGCACTCGCGATTATTATTGCACTGTCCTTGGCCTTTCAATTGACCACTAATGCCTATGATATTGTAAAACAGCGCTCCTACTTATCTACAAACCGAAACGCATAACTGTTTCGCGGCAGAAATAAGTAATATGGTGGTACATATTTGTTTTTCACACAGAACGCCTTCCCAATAGCAAAATTATTTTATTAGTTAATTCTTTTCGCGGTAATTTCCGTAAATGTTTAACGAGCAAGCAATCTAATTCAAAATGACGTACTTACATCCATTTAAATCGCTAATAGGATGCTTCTACAGCCTGATACTGAATTGTGAATAACTATAGAAGTTTTTTTTAAATTAAATCCTATAAACAATTTTTTAAAACGACCTCGATACCCTTTATTTAAATTCATGATGTTTTTTGAGTGATTTTTAGTTTGACCCTATTAAAAAAAACATTCGACATTCTCAAATTATTTTCAACATTTATATCGAATGACACGACAATACCCCCCGAGTCGAGACTTCAATCAGCGGAAGGGCCATAATTGGATGAGTTCGAATCAGTTTACCCCACTCGGACGTGTTTACCCCAAATCAAGGGTACAAGGCACTTAACAATATAACTGTTTTTTTACTTGACGTATTTTATATTTAGGCCTTCTACTTCTTTTTCTCCACCTTATCCCACTAGGTGGGGTCGGTACAGCGATTTTTTCTATTCCATTCTCCTCTATCAGCCGTCGTTTCAACACTCACTCACACACTCCATCCATGTTTTCTTCGGTCGACCTCTTCCCCCCTTACCTTCCACTACCATTTGCATACATCTCCTAGTCACATGCATCTTCTCTCTACGCATCACATGTCCACACCACGCTAACCATCCGCTCTTTAATTTATCAATCACTGGGGCTACTTTCATATTTCCTCTGATATACTCATTCCTGATCTTGTCCATTCTTATCACTCCACACATCCATCTCAACATTCGCATCTCTGCCTCATGCCTAATAATGTAACAATACATTAACTTGTAATTATTTATACAGTTTCTGTAATTACTAGGGCATTTTGTGAGACCGCACGCATAGATAGATAGGTACCATCATCAAGCCGGTATGTGCGATGGAATAGTAACGCGTTTCGGTTTTAAGGGTCGGAATTGTACTATAAAATTGAGACTTAGAATTTATGTTTCAAATAAAGTGTCAACATTTACGTTGTTGATATCTACGGGCTTAGGTAACCACTTAATACCAGGTGTGCCGTGAGATCAACCATCTAAGTAAAAAAAAAATATTATTTTTTGTAAACAGACTATTACATTTTATTTTGTTGTATTCTAATTATAGTAAGTTCAATTAGGTACGTGATTGTAAAATATTGTAGTAAGGTATAGTAGAGTTTACTTTCATCCATCCATCCAAGACAACCATCTAGAAATGAATTTAACCATTTATTTATATTATCATAAAGTCCAATTTGCCATGTGACTTTGGCTTTTAAAGACTTAACTATATAATTAATTGCATTGATAGGTCAAACTTGTGTGGCTAATTTAATTACAGGCACTTACCTGCAACCGTGAGTCAGCGATCTTAATTGTGACTAATAGTTTGTGCGGGTATTTATCAGAAGAAGCGGGAATCCTGGCTAGTAAACTTTCCTACTGTCTCATTAAGACCTTTCCTACTATCTCATTCAGAACAGAACCGGATAGAACCAGTACGAGGTCTGTAGCAAAAGCGAACATTGAGCCCTTAAGTTTAATTCAGGGCATTGGTTGACTAATGACTAAACTCCATTTGTGACTATGGCTATTTGTATTTGCTAAATCATTTTGTTTGGAACTAAGTTTATTCTAGTGATGTTCTTATGCAGCTAGTGTAGTCAGAGCTAGGTTTGAGAATAGCTGTTAGTAGTGGGGTTTTTTATTGGTAATTTTAATAGTTAGTTTTGTTTTTTTTTCGGTCCAATAAATGGTTTTAGGTTTGTTGTGATTTCCAAGGATACCATACTGCGTATTTATGAAATAATATATTAGTCATGAGTTTCATTTAATAGTTAGGATAGCCGTTGTAACAATGCTTTTGAATCTTCAATCCTATGTCGTGGTGGGGTACGTCCCACATTGCGTTGTCTATTGGTTTCGGTAACCGCTTAGCACCAAAAGGAGCGTAAGCCGGAAATGAAAAAAAAAAAAAGGTAATTATTATCAATATTATTCTTATTAGCAAAAGTAGTATTGCTCTGGAATAAAATGTAAAATAAGTATTTATTCTGATAAAATAATTTCATTCAGTTTGGATTATTTTTATCAATGACATGGTATTCCCCAAATTAGATTTTAATGCGATAATTAGGTATGAGTGTGATAGAATGTGTTCAACGGGGTGATTCTTACGTAATAGCGGTGTTCGACCAAGCGATGCAGACAAAAGATAGGGCTACCACGTACTTATATTGAAAATAAATATTTTTTTATAGTGCAATACGAAGCAATATCGATTTCACCAAAATAAGTTCTATAGTACCATACAAAATAAGTAAGGCCCTTGCAAAACGTCTAGTCAGCTTTTGTTTGATTAAAAAATTGAAATCAATGTTCGGAAGAACGCGACAGACCCCTACAGAGCGCGATCGACCCGACATAAAAAAATGACATTTATTCCAAGCTGATACGTTTTATTTTTCAATGATAATCGTAATAGGGCAAATAAACAATAAAAAAACATTTTCATCGCAAGCCCTACGCCAACTTCTACACCGACCGCACGAGCACTGACCGGCAGGAACATATTCCTTCAGTGGCCGGACAATAATTATTGTTTAATTGAATTCAAGCCAATATTATGATAATAAAATGTCCAGTATATTTAATTCACAAAATGGTCGTCTCTAACTTATTTGTTAATTCTATACAGCATCGTGATCATAATACTTGGATTCAGCCTTACACCCGTGTCTATAATCGCAAATTTTTATTAGCTTTGTAGGCAGACGAGCATACGACCCACCTGATGGTAGGTGGTTACTGTCACTCATGGACGTTAGCAATGCTAGGGGCAGAACCAAGCCGCTGCCTATCGCTTAATACTCTCCGCAAGCCTCGTTTGAAGAAGGATATGTCAGCGCTCGGGAAATACCGTGGTGGGGAGTTCATTCCAAAGCCGGTTAAGTGGCAGAAAAGATCTTAGGAAACGCACTGTCGATGCGCCAAATCACTATTTTAGTTTATTATGGTTAAGTGTTCAAAAAATAGCTATCTATTTTATTATACTACATTAGTGTATTTTGCGATATGGCTTAATGCCAAAAAGACGGAATCCTTATTACATCGCTACTGTGACCCTAAGTTTTTCTGTTACCCACTCGAGGCGGTCAACAGGGCGGCGGTACTTGCTTGAGGCTACCAATTACCGGGCACGGCTGACCCTTCGACAAGGGCCTGATATCAATTACCTCACCTTGTTTAGGTTTGAAGCCTCGATAGCTTAGTTAATCGAGCGTAAGTTCGGGAAATAGGGGGTTGTAAGTTTGGTTTTTTATTTAATAGATAATATACAGTCAAGTTATATTTAATATTAATCGACTCACCCCGGGTTGGACTCTGATGACGTGGGATTACTCTTTAGCGATATCGAATTAACTTGAAACAAAGATTACACGACAAGTGACAACCCTATTTTTTACCGAGTGTTTTTTTGTCAGCACCATGTGTTGATTAAATTCCTATATCGAACCTGTTTTTGACTGTGACATGTCAGCGATTTAATATAACGTCAAAACATGTAAGCGTTTTATCGTAACGGCATGTTTTTGATACATATTACATGCGTGGATCGTTTTATGAAAAATAAACGTGTATATAAATATGTATTTATTTTGTTGTTAATATTTTGTAATTGAATTTGCTGTTCTCATATCGAAGAAAGCCATAGTAAATTTATATACAATATTTGTCATTTTTCTTGCATTACGAACGGAATGAACAAGAATACGGCCGCGCACTCTGAGATTATAAAATTTATTCCGCATGTATTAATGGTATTGTTATAAAAACGTCCTACCCTTCAAAACGGAGGAAATAGAAAAATTGGAAGACCTAGAAGTCATTCGACAACTTGGCGTTTATATCGCTAAAAAAACCTGCATGCGGGATTTGAATTCCGGATTTCTTATATATAAGGCCACGACGACTTGTTAATGATATACCTTTCCTTTTTTTTTTAGTGGTTACAAACTTCACGAGGTCACAATTTAGCGAAGACAGGCGACATTGGCATCTCAATTATTGTCGCAGCCGACCATAACTTCAGTAAAAGAAATAACCAAGAATGAACGCGACCTTTCCTACAAACAAGAACAGTACTAGAATTAAACAAAGAAAAGTAATCGAACTAGTAAAAAAATATATAACAAAAAAAAAACAGGCCGCACCAATTCAGGTTCTTTGTCATTCGTCTCGGAGATGCCAAGATAAAAGCAATTAAAGTCCTTTA